GGCAGGCTGGAGCCCAGCCTCCCCCCGGCCCCTCGCCCCGCTGCCACACACACACGGCTGTAGCTCCAACAGACAACCTAGGGTTTTATTGTGCAGACAGAGGAACACTCCTGGAGGACAGGTTTTTTTGTTGTTGCTTTTCATAGGGTTCTTTTTTTTTCCCCCCTTAACAGAATTTCTTTTATGACAAGCTGTGGAAACAACTACAAATGTTCACAAAAAAATGAGACTCGAGACACATCCGCGCTCTGCTGGCTGGGCTCTGTGCCTGCCCCGGCACTCACTGGCAAGCCCAGGGAGGTGGGCACAGCCAGACCTCAGCTATACATGGCCTCAGCAGCACTAGACAGCAAGCAAGCAGGCAGGGATGGGCAGGGAACGGGGATGGGGGGGGGGGAGGCAGCTCGTGGTGTTGGGAGAAGAGGAAGGAGTGAAGAGCAGTGGCTGTGAATTGCTCTCAGCCATGGTGGCACAACCCAGGCTGCAGCGTATCTCAGTGGGGCTGGGCTTCACCCCATGGACCCAGAAGCTCCTGCCTGCATCTTCCCCTGCCCCATGCCCTCCCCTGAGCGAGGGTGCTGCAGGGCTGGTACTCCGGCCTCTCTCCCCACGGCCGGCTGGGGCGCTCCTTGCCCGGGATTTCAGGGAGGCCAGGGCAGCAGCCCACCACCTCCTCGGGGTCCCATGGGGCATTGGGGCAGACCCAGGCTGGCAGACATGGGCTGTGCTCAGCGTCCATCTCCTCGCTCTTGCCAAGCCCTGGGAAGATCCTGTCCTTACTGAGGCCATGGCCGAGAGCTGGGCTGCCCTTAGGCCCTTTTCTGCTCTCAAATGGAGACAGGGAAATGCTGAAAGGGAGGAGAGAGAAGAGAGAGGGCACATGCCTCCTCCCAGCAGCATGGTGGGGCTGGAGGAAGACTATACAGGAGGAAGGCTGCTGAGCCTACCCAGGGCCAGGCACCAGGACATGTGCCATGAGGAAGGAGCAGCGGCCCCATATGTTCCCTGAGGGAAGACAGGGTGGTGGTGCAGAGGAGTCCCTGCAGAGACCTTGGGGCCACGCTCCCAGAGGGGAGCCTCCTCCCTACCAGCCTGCCTGGATCCAGCGCCAGTGACCTTGGGGAGGAAGCAGGGGTGAATGCAGGGCTGTGGCTAGCTCAGAGATGCTCTGCTTGCCTCCACTGCGAGCGGGTGCTGGCAGCAATTCTCTCGTCACAGCTAAGGGCTGGTCCCTAGGGAGAGCAAGTGGTGGCTTGGGCTTGGGCAGCCCAAAGGTACCAGATTATGTCTGGAGCAGGCCTCACTTCCAGCTTAGCTGTAAAAAACAGATTGCCAAAACTTGTTTGCAGTGAGTCCCCTCTTAAGGCCCTAAAATAGCCCTAAGGAGGCAGGGGCATTTGACAGGTGTCTCCTGGACCTCCTCCCCTCTCTCCTCCCAGCCTGGCCAGGCCCAGGATCATCCCATGCCTCCCCGGCTCCCTCCTTCTCTTCCCTGCTTGCCCTGAGACAGGACTTGCCTTGTGCCCCTTCCCGACCATGGCAGCTTGGGGTGACTCAGGGCAAGAGGAGCCAGCTGAGGAATCAGTAAGTCACCTGGCTAGCGGGCAGGGTGGGTTGGGGACGCTGGCTGCCCCATCTCCTCCAGGCGCTGTGGGCACAGCACCCAGCACGGGGACCCCTCCACATGCTCTCGCATCATCTCTTTCTCTTACCTGCCAATCCAGCTGAGAGCAGACAAACCCCAAAAGTTAAAGGGATGGGAAAAGCGGGCTGTGCAGGGCTGAGGCTCCAGTGCTCCCAGCATGAGCAAACCAGCCAGCCTACTGAGCGGGGAGGCGCGATGGGAGAAGCAACGCTGCCTAGCAGAGCCACCATGCTTTGGAGCAGGGCGTGTGTGCGTGTGATGGCAGGTCTCAGCACAGGACGGTGGTTTAGCGTTAGATATACGGCTATATAGAGTTAACACAGAGAGAGGTTTCACTTGTTCCAAATGGTTCAGCTTCTCTTTCCAAGGGCTGCATTCTGGCGAGGGAGGCGGGTTTGCTGGGGTACTCGGTGTGTGCGTGCGTGTGTGTGTGTGTGCGTGCGTGTGTGCGTGCGTGTGCGCTTTTCCTTTCACAGGGACACGAAGTCCACGGCTTGCAGGAGAGGCAGTGAAAGGAGGAGAAGCAGGAGCCACGAAGTGTTCTGGATCAAGAGGCTGAAGCCGGCACATTTCTCCAGTTTGTCTGTGAGGACAGGGAATGGGGAGGGAGAGAAGAGCCACAATGAAATCCCTCGGGAGCAGGGATCAGGCTGGGTGTTACAAGGGGTACTGGGACACAGCTTCTTGCCTTTTTCTCTGCCACAGAAATGCAGCAAGTCCCATCCTGGCCCCTTGTCTGTTTCCCCTCTCACCTCGTGCCCAAGTAGCAGCCAAGCTTTTAGGGGCACAGAGACCCTGGGAAGCATAACCCTGCCTGTGCCTGACTGAGGTGACAAGGGGATGAGTACCAGGTAAGACAAAGGGCTCCGCAACTGGAGGACTGCTCCTGCGAGACATAAGTGTGGAAAACCCCCACTCTGCTCCCACTCTGGACCACATACCTCTTAAGTCCTTCACCAGCAGACTTGTCCTCTCTGCTGGGACTGTGAGGCATCACCTATAGGAGGACACCTGGGCAGTGTGCCCAAGGCGGGGCCCAAGAGAGGCAGCAGTAAGCAGTCTGAGATGGGGCAGAGTGAGGCCATATGTGGGACTGACTGCTCTGCTCGCAGTAATAAGGACATGTAAGGGCTGGGAAACATTTATAAGGCTCGGGGAGGGTTTGGGGACACCATAGGGAGTTGTGGTTTTCTCTGCTGGCCTTGCCAAGCTAAGGAGCAGGTGAGAAAGAGGGGCTGAGGCCAGGCCCCGCTGCCCGTCTCACCTTTAATGACAGTGATGTTCTTTATCTGGTTGCCAGTGTAGTCATTGGTGGCCTTCAGCTCGCACATGTAGACGCCCTCATCACTGGTGGTGAAGCTCTGCAAGTAGAGGCAAACCAGGTTCTTGTGCATGGTGACGTTGGCTCGGCTCCGGTAGATGTTCTCAGAGACGCTGATGGTGCTGTGGATGACGTGCTTCCTGTTGTCCTTGGTGATGCTGAACTCGTAGGTCAGGGGGTTGCTAGTTTTGTTCTCATAGCGGCAGTCCACCCGGAGGCTCTGGCCCAGCAGACAGGCACTCAGGTCCTTAATCATCTGGCAGTGGGCTGCCTGGAGAACTGGGAGAGGCAAGCAGGGGTTGGACAGGGAACAGCGAGCACTGGGGATGCCCATGCAGCCTCCTGGCTCTTGCCCAGCTGCTCTGGACCAGTCTCACTATAGAGCAGGGAGGGGGTGCGCATATGTTGGCTGTACCTGTCAGGATGACAGCGATGCCGAGAGTGGGGTTCATCTCTCCGCTGAGGTGCCCGGCAGTGGCTG